CGACTCCTGCAGAAACCTCCTCGGGCTGTGGACTGGCAAAATTAAATTAGGAGGTGTCTTTTCGTGTCCATAAATAAAAGCGGGGAGGGGGAGAGAGTGCTCTCGAGGCCCGCCTGTGAGCTGGGCTGCAGGGGGTGTCCAAGTCCCAGCCTGTGCGCCCGGAGAGGGCGGGTGCCCGGTCCCCGTGCCTGTAGCGGCTCCCTCCTGGTGCTCGGGGATCCCTCCGAAGGCGGAGGGGGGAAGGCAGAGAGAGACACCCATTGCAGGGACACAGGCGGGCTGCTCGGGAGACTTTTATTGCACTGTGCCACAGCCTGGCAAAGAGGGGGGGGCGGGGCAGGGTCATCGCTTCACTTTCGCGTCCTCTTTGATCTTCCAGATCATCAGCTCCATGCAGGCTCGGGCATCCTCGCTGGAGTCGTGACCTTCCACTGGCAAAAACGAGAAACGGGGGGAAGTTAGCTCGCCCGGGGCGAGCGACGGTTGCCTCGAGGCGAGCAGGTTTGTAAAGTGGGAAATAAATATGGATGCAGCCCTCAAAACGGAGAAGAAATTATCTTACTATCAGTGCGGGCTGGCTCACTGACATCGGCGTGATAGCTCTCCCAGTCCTCTACTTGGTTGCACAGCAGACGCCCATGACAAATCCTCCCATGGGCCAATTCGGGGGAGTAGAGGGGTCATACTACATGGACTTGTGTCTACCCCTCCCTGGAAGCCCTAAGCCCAGGCCCGTGGCTACAGTGGGGCATCTCGGGGCCTGGCCCCCCGACTTACTGCCAATGCCCCCCCCCCCGACTCCCAATTTTTTATTTTATTTGTGGCTCTTCCTCGGGGTGTGTGCAAGGTGCCCCAGACTTATTTCCCCCCCCCCCAATTAAAAAAATCCCGACTACAGGCCTGCTTAGGCCTTAATTTTAAGGGAAACACTTCCAAAGCATTTGTATCCATAGCATCCTCCCCCCGCCCCCCCATACATATATACCAGTAAAGCAAGGGCTGAAAAGCAAGATACAAATTTTGTAGAGCAAATAAATAAAAGAGAGCAAGCGCTGTTATGTGCTGGAAATAAAAGCACTGCTACGTGCTGACCTAGCAGTTCGAAAGCAAGAAATTGCAAGTTGATAAATAGGTACCACTTCAGTGGGAAGGTAACAGCGTTACGTGCGCCTTGGTGTTTAGTCATGCCGGCCACATGACCACAGAAACGTCTTTGGACAGTGCTGGCTCTTCGGCTTTGAAACGGAGATGAGCACCGCAACCCTAGAGTCAGATTCGACTGGCTTTCGAGCAAGGGAACCTTTACCTTTACGTGCTGTAGGGAGTCTGTTTGGTGCATGTGGTATTTAGCAGGACCACCAAAAAATGAAACGGTCTACTGGACGGGAATCGATACAAAATTCCACCCGAGACCAACGGGGTCACCGGCAGGGGCATGCTAAAAACCCCATCAATGAGCGAAATTAATAAGGCCCAGCCCTGTGAAACACTTTCTCCACCTTCTTCCGAGGAGCTTGCTGGGTGACCTCAGACCAGTCACTCTTTCTCAGCTTACCCTAACCTGGCAGTGCAGCTGATAGGATAAAAATGAAGGACCACATGTGGAGAAAAACAAACACCCTGTCAGAAGAGCACTGTGTATAAAGGCTCCGTATAAAGGCAAGGTCCTAATTTTCTTTGCCTTCCCCTCATTATTCCTCCCCCACTGGTACCTGGAAATCTAGATCACAGCTCTCTCCTTTTGAAATCCAAGCTATCGTCTCGGGTAGATCTAGATCATGGAAATGTAGATCACAGCTCTCTCCTTTTGAAATCCAGGTTACCGTATCCCTGTTCTCCCGTTGCGAAACCCAGTTTATGGGACGCTTTCGTGCTGCTTTATTTCATTGCTCTTTAATTGTGAAATCCAGTTTTACCACCGTGCTCACTATAAGTAGAAGTACTCTACTTATAAGTAGAAGTTCTCTACTGGTCTTTATGGCACGGTTTTCATATAGGACTGGCCTCGAGATTCAATGGCGAACCAAGGCGACCTGGAATCCTTGGAAGAAGGGTGGGATGGGTGGGGATTTGGGTCAACGCTTCTTGCGAGAATATGGGGCTTTTTAAAATTGAAGAATGGGAGATGCAGGGACGCTACGGGGCAGCCCGCCCCCCGCCTTCTCCCCCTTCCCCGGGACTCACCACTGTCCTGGATGATGCGCTTGAGGTAGTCAGCCATCAAGGTGCGCAGCGCCCGCTTGTAAGGCAAGCCCAGCCGATGGGGGAAGACGACGGACGTATCCACCACCGTGTCATGGAGGAGCTGGTGGAGGGAAGGCGAAACCACACCCTGGTCATTGCTGCGTTCCAAAACTCACCTGGGCTTTCTGAGACCCGGTAACCTTCGGAAGAGGAGCGGACCCGGAAGGGGCCACCCGGCTCAGTTCGGGGATGGATGCCCTGACCCGGCTAGCCCGGGCGAGCCCGATCTCGTCAGGTCTCGGAAGCTAAGCAGGGTCGACTCCGGCAAGTACTTGGATGGGAGACCTCCTTGGAATACCAGCAGTCGGGAGGCAGGGGCAGGCTCTATTCAGCCTCCTCTCTGAATATCCTCCAGGCCCCCAGTAGGGGTTCAGTCGCCAGAGGCCGCCCTGACTTCCAGGTGCACGCACACTCACACATGCACAAAGAAAATACACCCCCCCCCAAAAAAAACATGGCCAACTTCGGCCGGAAGGGATGTGTTTTAGCCAGCCAAGTTGTGCCTCATAACACACACACACACACAGCTAGTGCCCACATCCCCCCCCCGAACAACCCAGACAGACAAAGGAGAGTCCTTCCTTCCCATTACCTGTAGTGCAAATAAGTCGCTCTCCAAGCTGTGTCCTATGAGGATGGTGTCCGCACTGAACATGTTCAGAAGAACCGCCTGGACGTCTCGCAGGGTTATGGTCACGTCTTCCAGATCCGCCTCCGTCACGCCTGAGAATCTGCCAGGGGGAAAGTTGGCATTGAAGACACTCCCGCGTTCTTGCATGTGACACACTCAATGCGACTAAAAGACGCTTCGGGTCGAGTAGGGGGCGGGGGAGGTTGCCCGGAGAATGCTGGTCTCACGGCCTGGTTTACGGGTCCCGGACTTCCAGCAGCCAAGGCACAGTCCAAAAGGTTTGCTGCTTTCAGAATGGGTCGATGTTAAGAATGACCAGCCAGCGGCGGAACCCGACCGGCCCCACCTTTCCCCTCCCTGCATGAGACCCCGATCTGGGCTGGAAAGAATCAAGAGGGCCGCTAACAGCAACTCATGCAGAGACACAGTGGGCAGCTTCCCCCACAGAATGGCATCTGGGGTTCGCAGGAGGTATTTCTCTTGGAAACCCGCTTCCCGAGGCGTCCGTGCTTCTGCTCTCCCCTGCGCGGCAGATCGGGCATTGCCGCGTGAAGCTCCATTAACACAGCTGACCCCCCCCCGCAACTCCGGGCCCCTCACCTTGTGTTGTAGTCCACCACTTTGCGGTCCGGCTTGACGAAAGTGTCGTAGACCACCTTCAGTTCCGAGTTGATCACGGTGACCCGGGTCAGCTCCAGGCCTTGCTTGGTGTAACACTGCGGAGGCCAAAGGCCGAGAGTCACGGCGGGCATCTTTCGGAGGGGAAGCGGCTGCCCTCCCCAGCCAAGACACTGTCGCCAAATCTTTCTCAACCGGCAGCTTGGCACGGGGGCCGTTTCCCAACAATCAGAGACGCGCATGCTACTTAAAAGTCTATCGTAACACAAAACCACCAAGAGGAGAAGAAAACAAGTGTGTGTGTTATGGCTGCCCCCTCCAATGTTCCCTCTAAGCTGTGGAGTCTTGTGAGCAAAAATTCTACTTTCTGAGCTACTGGCATTAAAGTTGTGAGCAAGTGATTTGGCTACTGCATAAATTAGTTTGCTCTGGAGCCATCCCTCCTGAGCTAAGACAAAAATGTGTGAGCTGGAGGCTAACAAACTGTGAGCTAGCTCACAATAACTCAGCTTAAAGGGAACACTGGCCCCCTCCCCGAGACTTGCAGTTCTTACTGAAGACAGCCAGAGGTGGACTCGCACTGAGGCCATTCCAAAGCTCAGGCGTCATTAGAGATGTAAAATTTCCAGAAATTTTGAAGCCGGAAATTTTCGGAAAAAATGAAAAAAAATGCTACATTAACACTCCTTGTTTCTTTTCTAGATTGAAAGTCATTCTGTTACTTTAGGAACATAAAATATGACTATGGACATTTTTACTTGGCATGAAATGATCACAACTAGCATATTAAAAATATAGTGTATCCAAACAATTATTTCAAATAGAATACCCACCCACATGCAAAAACAAAACTGAAACTTTTTAATTTTCTTCTGACAATCGCACCTCCTAAAGGAAGAAATGCATCTTGTTCTTGCATTGGAGGGTTCAGTTTGTAACCTAGGACTTGCTTGTCTTCAGTGCACAGAAATTAGATCACTCTGATATATATATAAGAAATGATTTGGAAAATATTTGAACACCTTGTCTTAAAATATTTTATTCATCATGTTAAAATAAAACGTTCCATAATCATTTTTTTTCTTTTTTCAATTTTTCCAATTTTTCGAAAAAAACAAAACAAAAAGGCTTCAGGAAAAAAACGTTTCCCCCCCCGAATTTTTCCGATTTTTTTCCAGGCCTTCACATTTCTAGGTGTCATCACAGTAAAAGGGTCTTACTGACAGCGTTCAAAGCTCTCGCAAAGAGGGCCCGGGAAGCGGGGCTGGATTCCCGGACAGCAACTAGCCCATCGGCCAAGAGGAGGAGAGGCAGGCCCCCAAGATACACGGAGCCCTGCTGCATGGAGCGAATGCTGG